GGCATGGGCTGTATGTGGTGCTTCAGACCAACCCCCATGCTGCCTGCAGTGCTGGTTCTGACCCATGCATCACATGCAGCACAGGCATGAGGGGTCAGTCCAGCATCCCATGGACCAGATCATATGGTTCCACAGGCCAGATCTGGCCTGCAGGCCATATGTTTGACACCTCTGCCCTAGAGGAATGGAGAGGGGCAGACATAGCATCTATCTTTAACAAGGGTTGGGCGTGGATGCCACTGGGAATCTAAGCCAGCCAGCTTGCTTCAACACCCAGCATAACACCAGAATAATGTATTGACTGATCAATTTATAAGCACCTAGAGCCTAATTAGGTCATAAAAGCGCATCTAACCAATCAAGTTTCCTTCTTGGATGTGGCTCCATGGATAAGAGGGGGAAGCAGTGTCTGTGATCCACTTTGTCTTTTGGTACTTGATACTGTCCCTCATGCTGTCATCATAAGCCAACTAGGAAAATGGGATCTTCATAACAAGTTGCTAAAACTAAATGAAAAGTAGTTGCCAATGGTTTGCTGCCAAACTACTGGGATGCTTCAGGTGGCATACTGCAGAGGTCTGTTCTGGGCCCACTTCTGTTCATTTATTAGTAGGGTGACTTGAATGGTGGCATGGAGAGAACATTTTTCTAAGTTGCAGATGATACCTAGTTGGGAGGGGATCTTGGGCACAGGACAGGATCAGCATTCAGAATGCCCGTGTGAATGGTTTAAAATTGTCCAGATTAAATTCACTGCAGATGGGGCAAAGTGATAAAAACTGCGGGCAAGAAGAAGGAATCAAATGTGTAAATACAAAATGGGGAATAACTGACAGCATAGCAGAGAAGGACCTGGGTAGCAGGTTGCGCAGTGAATGTAAGTCAGCCACAGCAAATGTGGGTCCACTTGGAAAAGCACAGATCTCCTTGTGGTATGCACTGAGGGATGGGCTGCGTGTGAGAGACAAGAAGTCATGTATTCCACTGCGCTCGTGTGGCTGGGGCTGCAGCTGGGGTGTCCAGTTATGAGCATCACACTTTAGGAAAGATGTGGACAAACTGGAAAGAGTCCAGGGGAGTGCAACGTGAATGGCTTGGAGGCTTTGTGAACATGGCCTATAAAAGGATGAAGGGACTGGGTTTGTTTAGTCTAGAAAAGTCCAGACTAAAAGTGTGCGTGATAACAGACTTCCCCTGTGTTGGTGATCAATTGTTCTCTCTGTCCATTGGGGACAGGACAAGAAGCAATGAGTTTAATTTGCAGGCTTGAAGATTTAGGTTAGAAGTCAGAAAAAACTGCATCAGGATAGGAAAGTGTAGGTAGGAGATACGTATGGAGGTGGGAGCCCTTCCTGGGCGGTTCCTAAGAGCAGGTGAGGCAGGTGTCCCTTGGGCAGGGTCTAGGCATACTTAGCCTGCCCCAGTGCAGGGGATGGACTCCATCTCCGTGAGCTCACTTTTGGCCCACTGTGATCCTGTGACAGCATTCCTATGGGTCTCTCTTCACTCAAAGACACTGATTTGTCAGTGCTGCTTAGTCTTAGTATAAGACTTAGTCTATTGGGTGCCCCGTGCCATGGTTTGACTGCACTGGCACATCTGAATGTGCGGGTTGTGCTTGCCTGGCAAAGCATCTTTAGAGGGGAAGGTGGTGGGTAAGGGTGTCCCAGGACACTGACAGCCTGGCAAGGCAGCTCTGGGGGGAACGGCTTTGCACCTGGCGTCACCTGCTGGCAGTCGGGTCAGATAGCAGAAGGGGAGGCTGCTGGGGGCACTGCTTGCTGCTGGGAAAAGCTGTACTCTGGCTGGTGCTTTACCCCCACCAGCTCTGGATGTGGGAGCTGGGAGGCTACCTTTTGCACCCCAGACTTGCTGCTCTCCCCCACTCCAGCTTTGCTGGGCCACACATTTGGCCCATGTGAAGCAGGCACCCCCCACTGCAGCACTGTCCTGGGTCCGTGGAGGCAGGGCCTGGGCAGTGGCAGGAGGAAAGGGAGGGCGCAGCACAGCACTGGAACAGCAGCATTGTGGGGCGGGGCGGGGGCCAGCACTGGGGAGGCTGTGCCTGGTAAAGCTGTCTGGGCTCCCAGGGCTAGAATAGCTGGGTGGTGGGTCCGGGCAAGGGGTGTTGGCATGGCGGGGGGGTATTTTGGAGAGTGTCTTTAGGGCAGGGAGGCGAGGCCAGGGATGCTGGCTGTGAGAGTGGTGCTGTGTCTTTGAATGCTGCGTGGCTCCTGGGCGTGCTGGTGGGTCTCAGGGCAGGTGATGGGAGCCAGACGCCTGCCCCTGTTCCCCCACTGCAGAGAGCGCTGAGCATGGCGGCTCGTTGCCCGCAGAGCAGGGAGGAGGCCCAGGCCAAGGCAAGCTGCCTGCGGGCGCAGATTCCTCAAGTTCCTATCTGGCCGCCTGGCCCCAGAGCGACTGCGTCTCCTCCTGCAGAAGGAGGGAGGGGCAGGGGCAGGACGGAGAGAAGGGGCAGTTCAGGATGACGCTTTGGCATCATCCCCTCACAGCTTTGGCATTTGGCAAAGCCTGCCAGGCCTGGGAGCAGGAGGGGCCAGGGAGGCCCTGCTTGGTGAGTCACTCGCACCTGGTGCTCTGGGGCTGCAGTAGAGGCAGCCTGCCTGGAGGTGCCCCACCAGAGAGCTAGGAAGTGTCCCATGGGCAGCCTGGGCCCCGAGATCTGCCCTTGCCACCTCCCCTCTCTTGCTGCCCTTGTGGGGTGCATCAGGGGAGCTGTGTCTGGGCTGGGCTCGCAGGCCAGCACCACAGCTGTGCCCCACTGCTTTTCCTTCCCAGGCCATAGCTGCTAACAGGGAGAGGTCACCTGGCTCAACTTGGGGCAGACCCCGGCCAGGGAGACGTGCCTAGGGGCAGTGGTGGGACCAGTGTGTGTGTCCAGCTCCCAGTCCTTCCAGCCATCACCTCTGGACAGTCCTCTTGAAGAATGCACTGGGCATGGGGCCAGCTGCCCAGCACTTGGCAGCCCCCTCCACTCCCTGTT